ATCCTGGCTTGTCACTTGTCAAACTGGGAGAGCACAAAGGCTCCCACAGCCTAAGGCCCAAGCACTTGTGACTAGGCCAGGGATGGGCCAAATTTCAGCAAAAGATCAGAGAGTGTTCTTGCCTGGCTCATGCAGCCAGGGAATGTGGGGACATGGCATTTCTGTAACCCGGCAGGAAGCAGAAAAGAGAAGGAGCATCACTGCACACTATGAGTGGCTGCACAGTTGCCTGGGCAAGTCACAGAACCCACTCCCTTATAGACTGATTCACCCTGCCCTGCAAGATGGCCTGGCCAGACAAGGAAAGCCATCCTGGGCAAGGGTGGCCTTGGGAGCTGAGAGAAGTAGAGCAGATCCTTAGAATGCCAGTCAAGTGCCAGGTGGTCCACACCAAGGTGTTTCAGGGCCCTGACCATGCCACTTCCACAGTAGGAATGGAAACAGATTTTGCAGACAGTTCCAAGCACATGGTATGGGACACTCGTCTGGTAGCAGAATGCAGCATATGTGATGTCAAGTGATCAATCTACAGGTCTTGGGGAAACCAGTCTTAAAACAGGGTCTGAGCTGTGAGGAGGGTGCAAAACTCAGAAAGAAAGAAAAGGAGAGATGGTCCTTTGAACAGAATCCACTTGGTTATGGAAGCTGGGCAGGCTCTGTGTCTATATGTTCAGGTGTCTACATATGTACTATATTTGTGCGACATCTTCTACCTCCAGATGGTATTGCTAATTTGTATTTTAAAAAAAACAACCTCTCTTTAATTGATTTAACAACAAACAAGCACTTGCAAGAATTGGCTATTCCAAAATTCTCAGAAATATAGTTCCAAGTAAGAAAAAAATACTGAAACATTAATTACTAGTCATAGGTTCACTTACTTTTGCTTCCTTCTTAGAAAGGAAGAAAATTTCTAGCCCCGGCTGGTGTGGCTCAGTGGACTGAGCGCTGGCCTGTGAACCAAAGGGTCACTGGGTTTGAATTCCATTCGGAGCACATGCCTGAGTTGCAGGCCAGGTCCCCTGTTTGGGGCATGTAAGAGGCAACCACACATTGATGTTTTTCTTCTCTTTCTCCCTCCCTTCCCCTCTAAAAATAAATAAATTAAAAAAAAATTTTTTAAATAAACCTCTATTTCTAATGACAGCTAAGGGTTAAGAATTCTAATTAAGATGAAAAGAAGTTAGTAGATATGTTTTTGGTAGTAGAAAGTATAAGGTATAGAAGTACATTTTTGAGGGATTTAAAGGAATGTGGTTTGTCCTAAAATAAAGTTGGTTATTTCTGAATGAATAAGAGACAAACAATAAGGGGAAAAAAGTTATAGAAGGTTTGTAGAAGAAGGAAACTTTGAAAAGAAATTTTAATGTATAGTCGTGATAACTAAGATTGGAATGAATTTAATTCAAGAGATGAATTTAAATATCAAATCAAAAGTAAGCTGACTGAAAATTACAGAGTTTAGTTCTCCCTCTCTGTGCTAAAAGTCTACTGTGCTAATGGTGTGATTCAGGTAAGATTATGTGAAAAGTTTTCTGCCAAAATGCAAAAACGCTATGATTTACCAAAATAATTCTCTGTGCTCTGTTTTCCTCATCAGGTCCTCAATTACTTAAGCTATCTGAACCCTAACAGTAAGAGCTAAGTTTTACTAACAATTCAGCTTATTGAAACAGTGTCAAATAAAAAATAACATTAAACCTTCTTTGTGTTGTATTTGTGTAAGTGTAAGTTTTAAGTGTTCTAGAACTTATGTGAAACACCTGGAAACCTGAGCTGTCCTGGCATAATATGTCTGTCACCCACATTGAGACACACACTCACAGGACTGAACAAGTGTCAGACAGCACCACGTGTGGACGAAGTCCCTTACGCTTCAGCAAAGACGGCCCCTCACTGCCAGACTTTTGCCACCCTGGTGTGTCTGTAACAGGTTGGAAGTCTGCTCCTCAATCAGATAAACTAAGACGGGTCACCAGTGGCTGTAAATTGGACGAATAGTCAGAACTATTAAAAAATGCAAGACGGCCGCTTGGTTCTTTCCAGGGTCCCTGGCAAGCCCTGTTTTTCTGAGTCTGCTTTGCAACTAGACCTACAGAACAGGGACGGCTTCCCCTGACCGCCCCCTCCCCCGTGCACCAGATGTGCTGGTCCCTGGGAAAGGCCCTGGCCCTGCCCTAGATAAGGATGGAAGGCCTTTTCCTTTCATCTGAAAGGGTCACACCCCAGTAACCCACTACCCTGCCCTGTCCTGTGTAACCTCTTACTGCCTGTTACGTGGTGCAGAGTACATTCATGCCATATCACTGCTGCCCAAGATGCACCTCAGACGCACATTCCCTGGATAAACTCAATCACCAGACTGAAGCAGCGACCTCTTTCTTGAGCCTTCACCTGCCAGCAGGTGGGGCTAGATTTTTCAGTCTCCAGGCTTTTCCCTGCAGCTGTGTACACTGACATGAAGCTACAATAATCAAAGCAGCATGGTCCTGCCATAAAAAAAGACACTTAGATCAATGCAACAGAATGGAGAACCCAGAAATAAAACCCATTCCTATATGGTCAATTAGTTAATGACAAAGGAAACAAAAATATACAATGGAGTAAAGACAGTCTATTCAATAAACGGTGTTGAGGAAACTGGACAGATATAAGCAAAAGAATGAAATTGGGCCACTTTCTTAAACCATACACAGTAATAAACTAAAAATGGATAAAGACTTAAATGTAAGACCCAAAACCACAAACTCCTAAAAGAAAACATAGGCAGTAAACTCTCTGACATCACTCTTAGCAATATCTTTTTGGATATGTCTCTTTGGGGAAGGGAACAAAGGAAAAAATAAACAGTTGGGACTACATCAAACTAAAAAGTTTTTGCACAGCGAAGGAAACCATCAACAGAACCAAGGACAACCTACTGAATAGGAGAACATATTCACCAATGACACATCCAAATAAGGGGTTAATACCCAAAATGTGTAAGGAACTCATATAACTTAACATCAAAAAACAAATGACCCAATTATAAATTTGGCAGAGGAGCTGAACAGACATTTCTCCAAAGAGGACACTCAAATGACAAACAGGCATGAAAAGATGCTCAATGTCCCTAACCATCAAGGAAAAGCAAATTAAAACCACAATGAAATCTGGCCTCACACCTGCCAGAATGGCTACCATCAATAAATCCACAAACAAGTATTCACGAGGATGTAGAGAAAAAAGAACCCTCATGCAAACTGGTGCAGCTGCTATAAAAAATAGTATGGAGGTTCCTGAAGAAACTAAAAATAGAACTACCATATGACCCAGCAATCTGATTTCTGTGTATTTATCTGAAGAAATCCAAAAGACTACCAGCAAACACACAGGCACCCCCATGTTCAGAGTGGTATTACTTACAATAGCCACTACATGAAAGCAACCTATCAACAGATGACTGGATAAAGATGTGGTGCGTACATGCAATGGAATGTTATTTGGTGATTAAAAATAATGAATTCTTACCATTTGCAACAACATGGATGGACGTAGAGGATATTATGCTAAGTGAAATAAGACTACACACAGAAAAACAAATACTGCATGGTTTCACTTACATATGGAATCTAAAGAACAGAACAATTGAATAAACAAAAGACAAACAGACCTATAGATACAGAGAACAAAGTGACGGTTGCCAAGGGGGAGAGAGGACAGGAATAAAAAATATAAAAAATAAAATGTAAAAAAACCCACTTCCAGTGCTGCGGACATTTCTATTAGATTGAACTGGCCTAGAATAAGCCTGTCTATCCCACTTTTCAAAAACGTTTTTCAGCAGCATCTCCGTCCATGTGAAAACACACCGTTTTACATCGATGAACCTTCCCGCCCCTCCCCTACACACACGTGGAGCTGGGAGTCCTGCATTCAGTTCCTCGCTCCTCCTAAGAAGCTGGTGGGTTCTCCACTTGACAGATGCGAAAACTGGGGCTCACAGGGAAGGACGTGGCAGGACCACCAAGCCCCATCCTACACAGGCCAGCCGCCCAGAAACACTGCTTAGGGAGCTGAAGGAACCATGTGGCACCGGGCTAATAAGACACATCCAGCTGCCACAGCGCTCTTTGCTGGGGATTCTAGAGCCTTGTGGACTCAGACAGGACAACCCCTTCATTTTCGCTCCCTCGAGGAATTGAGTACACCTCCCACAGTGATGGACTCGAGATACCTGGGGGGCGGCAGGCATCTCCACATCACATCATGGCGACACAGACGGGAGTCACAAAGCTATTAGCACGTAGTCAAGTGCATCGAAGTCACAACAGATGTCCTCACAGGTCAGTATGTGTATCTGCAAAACTGGCTCCCTCATCCCTAGGCAGTAAGTTTTTCCTGTGATTCCTTGAATTAGGGCTGCATGTAAAGAACACGCTCCTAAACAGCCAGAGTCAAAGAAGAACTCAGAGGGGAACTGGGAAATAGAGAAGAAAAGGAATAGATGCGGAAATTGGCTAACACAGTACCCAGAGGGAAGACCATGCTGTGACCACCCGTGTTAAAAAAAGAAGGGTCTTAAGACAATCACCTGAACTTATGAAACTAAAAGAAAAGGAGCAAACTAAACCCATGACTCAATGACTAAAGCATGGAAGTCATTACCCTGGTGAGGGTCTACAGGCTGCCCTAAATGCCAAAAGTGTCCTTGCACCACGCAGGTTCAGAGCCCTGGCCCAGCAGACTGGAAGGAAATGTACTAAAACATAAGCAGGATTTCCTCCTCCTTTTTCAGTCATGTTCAACGTTTCTTTTGCAGGCCATATAAGATTTACATCCCTCAAGGCTAAAAGAATTATTAAAACAGTAAAACCAGGCACTTGCACTTTGGATCTAAAAGAGAAGGGTTGGAATCTAAGGACTGCCAGGCATGTCCTGCCCCCCAGCCTCACCTCCACCTGTGACAGCTGGTGACCCCTTTCTCCTTGGCCCCCTCAGTCCCGGTTCCCCCCACTCACCTTGCGAGCCCAGCCAAGCAGGATGGTGTTGTACATGGACAGGGTGAGCATCCGCCGCTTCCGGGACCTGCTGTGGCACGTGACCAGCACATGGTGGGCGAGGGGCAGCTGGTCCACGAGCACGCAGCACTCCAAGAAGGCCAGGAGCCTTTGTTGCTGGCCCTCGCGCCGCATCCTGGAAACCCTGTCCAATGGGCCCTGCTCTTCCTTGCAGCTCAGCCTCCTAGGCGCCTCCTGCAGCAGACGAGCCAGCTGCTCCTTCCAGGGACTCCTGGGGGTGCTGTGCTCCCAATGCTGTAGGCGGTCTGCCAGCTGCCCATTCAGCAGTTGGGGCTCCACACGCAGCTGCTGCTTGCGAGCCTGCCGCTCAGCCCGCTGTTGCAGCTTCATCTCCAGCTGCTGCAGCTTCATCTCCAACTGCTGCTTGCGCTCCTGCATCTCAATCTTCTCCTTGTCCAACTTCTGCGCCCAGCGGCCACTGAGCTCCAGGGTGATGCCCTCATCACCTGCCTGAACCTTCTTGGGTGGCTGGGAGCCACCAGCCCCTGGGAGTCGAGCCACATCCACCCGCTTTGCTGTCACCTCTGACACATGGTCAGCCTGCAACTGCCGCACTCTGGCCTCAAGCACTGTGGGGAAGCAAAGGGCAAGATGTCAGGGGAACTGGTTCAAATCCTAATCTCTCCAAACACCCTGAAAACAGGGAGGTAGGAGGCAATTAGTCTCACCAGCTCTTGAGGCCTCACTTCTACATATTTGCTGACAGTTTCCACATGTCCCTGGACTTCTGGTCACATGCGCCCCACTCATCCACTTGGTACTTATCTACCCCATCCCCTTCACACTTAACATCCCATACAAGCTCCTTGTATCCCTTCCATGTCTCTGTCACCACAGCTATGTCTTCCAGGTGCTCTGCCCACAACCCCAGGGCTACCTACACTGCTTTCCCTCCACATCCACTCTGTTGGCATGTCCCCAGGGCTCTGCCATCAAAATCTACCCAGGTGCCCCCATGACCTTCCACTGCCTCACCGCTCACTTTGCTCCCCACATAATGGCCTCAGGGCCTCTGCACATGCTGCTCTCCTTGACTGGAAGACTCTCACAGAGGATTCCTAGCCCAGCCCTGCTCTGCCCTTCCCGAGCACAACCAGCAGCTCTGTTCTCTGCAGTTCTGCTCCCAGTTGCCAGGACACAGAACTAGTGAACAAGGAACCACTACTCCTGGGGAAATAGAGGGCTCCTAAAAGCCTCCAGTCACATTTCTGCCAACTAATCAGCCCATAATCTTGTTTTATGTGTCTTTCTGTTTAAGAGCCCTTACCTATCAGGCCTGTATAATATACACACCTCCCTTTTCTTCCTTCCTCCTTACTTCTTACAAATAATATAAGAGGCCAGCCACTCACTATAATGTTATTGCTTCTCCTTTCTCCTTAATTTCTGTCTGGGAAAATAATTCAACCCTGGACATCATCTTTAAACACTTCACAGGTCAAAATGTTCAACTGCTTACATACATAGTCAGGTTTAATAGCTGACCATGTCAGCCCCAGTGAAGGTACCAGATTTGGAAGAATACTTTTCCTTGAAGAGGTATCACAATGAGTAAATGCACTGTTAGAAACTTATCCAACCCCAGCTGGTGTGGCTCAGTGGATTGAGCGCCGGCCTGTGAACTAAAGGGTCGCCAGTTCGATTCCTAGTCAGGGCATGTGCCGGGTTGTAGGCCAGGTCGCTGGTAGAGGATGTGCAAGAGGCAACCATACACTGATGTTTCTCTCTCTCTCTTTCTCCCTCCCTTCCCCTCTGTCTAAAAAAAATAAACAAATAGAATCTTTAAAAAGAAACTTATCCAAAACTTTACAGGAAACTGCTGGTGCTACCGCCAAAAAAATAGCCACCAAGGAAAAATCTTTAAGTTCCCTTGCATAAGTTACATCGGACAACAGAATTGCTCTTGACCATATCCCAGCTTAGCAAGATGGTGTTTGCTCTGTCAGTACCTTCTGTTGCACCTGGATAAAACACCTCTGTTAAAAGAAAGATCACACCAGATAAAATCCAGGCATGAGCCAAATGAGTAAATACAGTGCCCACTATTACTTCATGGTTCCCTAACTTCTTCAGTGGACTGCCCTCGGGTACCGCCCCCTAGTTCAGATCTATTCTTCACACTGGACTTAGCATTTCGTTACGGAAATGTTTGCTGTTACAAATCACTGTTTTGCACAGCACCATGTTATAAAGCCTCACTTTGATAATGGTTGTTCAATGTTTTCCAATGATCACTAATGCCTATGAGACTTCATATGAGAAACCTCAAAAAATGACAGATGTTTGTCCTTAAAGAAATGTGGTGGCAAACCTTCCTCCGTCCTGGCACTCCTGTTGTTCAAATGTGGCCTGAGGCTCCTAAAAATCCACTTTCCCTTCTACACAGAAGGAAAAGGTGGCTCATGACACACCAGCAAAGAGCCTTCCTGGTGACGAGGAACTGACAATGGCATGACGTATCTAAAATGGGCCACTTGACAATGGAGGGCCAACAATGCTTCTAATGACTAATCAGCACTGCTTTTCAGTGGTTGATCAGCAGTGCTTTCAAGGAGAGATCTTGAACAAAAGGGGAAAATGTCAAAAGAAATTTATAAATGGAGCCACTTTAAAATGGAGCTGAAGCTGATATCCCAGAGGAACTGCCTTGCATATCTCATGCCTCAAACCTCAAAATGTTAAAACAGGGCAAGATGACCTTTGAACTAGCCCAAAGAACTGTTTGCAAATATAACAGGAAAGCAGATATTATGACTACTGAGCTGACAGCTGTCAGACTGAAAATTAAAAACGCTGTGTAGAATTAGTGTCACTACATTATGTTATCTGCACCAACAGCAATGCCTTCCTTCCATGGATGTAATTGTTCCTCTTCCGTTTCTCCTAAGTACCCTTTACCTTTGTCTCTTAATTGGAACGCTGGGTTTATGCCTGAATAAATGACTTCCAAAGAGCTATTCTTATTGGTCTCAACTAAGAGACCAATATTCTTATTGCTCTCACTTTGAAGTGAACAATCCCATCAGGCACCCAACCCCAGAAAGCCCAGCCTGGGCAACATGCGTTGTTAGTTCACAGTTCTAACCCTGACTGTGCAGTTGTAGCTGTGTGGGGCCTTGGGCCAGTCTCCAGCCACAATTTTGGACTTCGACTGTCCCAAAAAGTGGAAGCACCTAGTGGGTTGGGGAAAGGAAGGAATTACAAGCGGTCACTGCTTTACCATCATGAGGTGGGACCCCATTAGTTAAAGGACTTTACAGACTGACATCCCTTTTTGTGGAGTTACTGTGAGGAACCAGGGAGGTGACCCCTAGCGGAGAGCCCAAGAAGGGGGCAGTGAGGAAGGAAGGGGCTTCAGGCCTCAAGCTTGAAGCAGCTCACCCTCCAGCAGCTCTGCATGGCCCCAGTCCCTCCGGCGGTCTTGTTCACAAGGTCTGGCAGACGAGCTCCTTCTGCAGCCCCAAATGCCAACCAGGGCCCCTGCGCGAGAGAAGGGGAGGTTGAAGGGGGTAGAGCGCCTGTGTGTGTCAGGGTGGGGGGGTGGGTCACATGGACAGATACTGCAGGATCTGCGGGCAAAAAAGTCCTAAATTATCAGCGGTGAATGTCAGTGTTCACAGGTCTCACACTGGAAGGAAACCAGAAGATCGAAGTTGAAGGGGACCCCATATACGAAAATTGAGGTGAAGGATCAAGGATAAATGTTCCTTGAACTAAAGGTACTGCGAGTTCAAACGTCAAGAGCCTTAGATAGCAAACGGGGTCAGCAGGCACCAAAAGACACCAGGAGTCAAAGGTCAAAGTACCCTGCGACCCCTGTCAGAAGAGTTCGCCGAGGTCGAATGAATGCGGGGTCCTGTCAGTGCGTTCCCCAGAACCGCAAAGGGCAAAGATCGAGGGTAGCTAGATACCAGGGCCGAAAGGTCATGGCCGCGTGTTGGGAGTTAGGAGTGGCAGCGGCCACGGCGTCGCCCCCGGGCCTCTCCCTCATTACCTTCCTCGGTCAAGAGGCCAGGGCGACCCGCCGGCCACAAGGCCCATCCGAGCCCTGCGGCCCCGCGGCCGCAGCGTAGGGCGGACATGCCGCCCGCACGCGGACCCGACAAGCCACCCGCTCACCAGCCGGTGCCTCACGCGCCTGCCCGGAGTTGTAGTGCCACGACCTACGGTGGCTGAGAAGGGACTACACAGCTGGGCAAGCGTTATCAGAACCACAACTCCCAGAAGGCAGCAGGGCCCCCCGGAGGCGAAAGGGCGTGCGCAACTTTATGATTGGCTCTCCCCTGGGGGAGGGACAGAACGTTGTTTGGGCAACGCGGGGTAACTCTATCTTCCTGAGGACCGAGAAACTGGATTTTTTTTTTTTAATTAAAGAATACTTGTATAATAATTAGGACATTATTAGAGATTTTTGTTAGCAATCTCCGTTAATCCGATGACATCTTTGCAGGCAAGAACTATTACTGCTCCCAGTTTAGTGTAGAGGAAGCTGGCGTTCGGAGAAGTCAATCAGGTTGACCAAAGATACAGTGTGAACATTAATTAGAGAGTTGGAATGAAAGCCTAGATCTGTCGACTCCCAGGCAGACGTGCTTAAGACACTTCCCTGGACACTACAGTCATCCGGTCCTCTGGCCTTGGTTCACCCACTAGTCCCCAAGCTCCTAAGGAGTGGAGTGGGCGGAAAGAGTGAACTACATACCAAACTGGGATGACAAATGCAGTGAGATATTCCCAGGAGCCTGAAGCTTCCCAGCTCTGGCCTCCAGGGCCAAAGCTTTAGAATCAGATCTGGAAGGCATGCCCACCAACAACCATCTGAAGGTCACTGCTGCCAATTCAACAACAGGGTCCCTAAATTGGGGGATGGCACAGGAGAGGCTTCATTCGGTTTTAAAAAGCTCTCCTGAGGGATGGCTTGGCTGAGGGAACAGCTCAGGTAAACCAGGTCAGGCGTTAGAGCTCAGTTTACAAACAGGGAAAATGTAGCCAGGTGCCCTGCTGAGGCAGAGGTGAGGTGAGGCGAGGCTGGCTTATACAGAAATGATGCTTATACAGAGGAGTGCTCAGGAGACTCACCACAGTGGGCCTAGGGGCTCCAGCTCAAGTTGCTATCAGTTCCCCAATGCTGGTACTTCAATTTCCCCACTAGCCCAGGGTGAAAGTCAAACCTGAGCTCTGGAAGAGCCAGACTTATGACCTGGAGACCTCTTGACAGCCCATTCCAGATCAACTGCCCACATGGATGTGCACACTGAAGCACAGTGATGTCACCTGCTGGGAACATTTCAACAGAGGACAGCATCCTCAACCTGTCCCAGCCCACCCCCAGATGCCCTGAGGAGCAGTGACCTCACACTTTACTCAAACCTGGGGTTGCCTTCCTGGCTCTGGGTTGGGGGTTGCTAAATCAACTGGGACTGGTTCCCCTAGACCTAGAGGTACACCCTTGCACCCCAGAAGTCTGGCAGAGCCAGGAACCTGGGATGAAAGCCAAGACTCCTGAATTCTTTTCTCTTATGCCTCATTTTTCCTTATATTCTATGAGACATCTGGAAATAAACCAGTATTTCCCCAAGACCTAGATTCCTGAATCTTAGCAGCAAGAAAGCTATTCTTTCAGTCCTGCTACTACATGGGGAGTTTCAGCTCTCTGGCTATGATCCTACTGATCTGAGAATTTGTCACCTGTTCTCCTTTTGCTTCTATTTAGTTTTTTAAAGATTTTATTTATTTCTTTTTAGAGAGAGGAGAAGAGAGGGAGAGAAACATCGATGTTTCTCCCATGCCCCCAACTGGGGACCTGGCCCATAACTCAGGCATGTGCCCTGGATGGGAATCAAAGAATTAACCTTTTGGTTGAAAGGCTGGCACTGAGTCCACTGAGCCACACCAGCCAGGGCTTATTTCTGTTTAAAGTCAATGTGTCAATGTATAGCACTAGCTTTCCTTTCCTGATGATGATACCAAGTTTCTCTGTAAAACTTAAACTGGCAAAACAGTAAGACACAAGACAGGTTGAGGTAGATGTAATCAGATGAAGAATACAGTGTCCAGAGGTTGGAGTCTGGGCAATGCCATGTTTTAGAGACTGTTCATGTATGTCAGAATCTCATCCAAAACATTTTGTCCAAATTGGGCCAGGAGACATTCAGATGAACTTGGATGGTGGGTCACTCCATGAGACTTCAGAAGTATCCTTGTTGACAAGGCCAAGAAAAAGTGGGGATCTCTAGATGGAAGGAGACGGCATCTGATTCTTGGGGCTGCTGAAACAAATTACAAACAAATTTGGTACCTTAAACAACAGAAATTTATTGTCTCCCGGTTCCATAGGCCAGAAATCTAAACTCAGGGTGTGGACAGGGCCACACTCCTTTGAAAGGCTCCCAGGAAGGGTCCTTCCTGCCTCTTTCAGCTCCTGGAGGTGCCAGGGACCCTGGGTTGGTGACCGCACCCTTCTAGGCTCTGCCTCTGTTGTCCCTTGTCTTCTCCCTGTGTGTCTGTTAAATCTCCGTCTCTCTCATAAGGATACTTGTGACTGCATTCAGTGCCCACTAGTATGATCTCCTCATCTGAACATCTTAATTGCATCTGCCAAAACTCTTTATGCAAATAAGGTAAAGTTCACAAGTTCCAGGGATTAGAATGTGGACATATATTTGGGGGCCATTATTCAGCCAATTCCAGAGACTAAAGGGAAAACCAAATGCCCTTCGTGGTTTGGGGTCAGAAAAAAAGGTATCCAAGGACACTATGGGGACACTGGGGGAAATCTGAACGCGGATGGTGGATTAGATTGCAGCTGGGTTATGATGAAGGACCATGCCTTTAGGAGACACGTCTGATGTGCTTACAGGGGAAGCAGCACTGTCCCTGTGGCTCAATCTCAAATACTCACTTATTGCACATAAAAACACTACATGTGTGTATTTTTTGAGGTGTGATGTAAGCAGTGGACACATCAAGAATACAGCTCAGTTCATTTTAACAAATTGAACACACAGGTGTTCCAAAGAAGACCCAGCTGCCAAAATCCCCTCAAGCCCAACTCTGTCACTGCCTCCAAGGGTGACACCCCCACCCTGATGCCTAATACCATACATTGGTTTCCCTGTTTTAGAATGTCACAGAAATAGATCTCTTTTGTGTCTGGCTGCTTACTCAGTACGATGTCTGAGAGTCATCAGTGTTGTGTGTTTCAGGAGGTTATTCTTTTTCGTGACTGCATAGAATTCCCTTGTGCATTTGCTGCAATGTATGACCCATTCTACTGGATGGGTCATACACTGCCCTGATGACTTTGCCCTGATGGAGGGCAAGAAAAAGACCTGTATTTGTGGACTCCAGGTACAGGGCATTCATTGTGCTTTACCCACTAAAATGGCTATAATCCAATTGACAACCACAAGTGCGGGTGAGGATATGGAGTAACTGAAACCCTCGTGCATGGTGGATGGGAGTATAAAATGGTGCAGGTGCTGTGGAAAACAATCTGAATGTTCTTCAAAAAGCTAGTTGTAGAATAATCATATGACCCAGGAATTCTACTCCTAGGTATATAAATGAGAGAAATAAAAACATGTGTTCACACCAACACCTGTACACACATATATACAACAGCCAAAAGGTAAAAATAACCAAGTGCCCATTAACGGGTCAATGGATAAACACAATGTGCCTCATCCACGCACTTGCATATTCATCACTCAGCCATGAAAAGCACTTGCCCTTTTTCATGGCTGGCACGTACTATAACACCAGTGGATCTTGAAAGCACGATGCTCAGTGAAAGAAGCCAGACATCAAAGACCACACAATGTGTCATTCTGTGTGTGTGACATGTCCAGAACAGGCAAATCCACAGGCAGGAGGTGGGTTAGTGGGTGACAGGGGCAGAGGGAGCAGGTAGGGAGTGGATGCTAATGAAGAAGGGGTTCCATTTGGGGTAATGGAATATTCTGAAACTAGATAAGGGTGGTCGAAAACTCTGCATGTACTGAAAACACTGTGTGATGTGTGAATTATATATATATTTGAATTAATTTCAATAAAACTTTTATTAAACTCCACAACACCTGGGCCAGGATCAGCTTCCCGGACGTGGGTCCCATCCATTGCACAGGGTGCCCAAAATTACCCTCCCAGGGATGGGCCGGATGAAAACCCTCTAGGAAGGGAAGACCAAGTTTCTGGCTGGCTGGCTGGCAAGTGGAATGTTATTCCAAGTCTGTGTGCTATACCTCTTTTCAACAAGGCCATAGAGTATCTCATTCCATCCTTCCAGCCTTCCCTTTCCTGGCCCATTTTCTTTTTCTTATTTTTAGAGAGAGGGGTAGAGAGGGAGAAAGAGAGAGAAACATTGATGTGAGAGAGAAGCATCAACTGGTCACCACCTCCAATAAGAAACAGAGTACAAATCCCGCAACCCAGGCATGTGCCCTGACTGAGAATGGAACCAGTGACCTCTCTGTCTGTGGGACTATGCCCAACCAACTGAGCCACACCAGCCATTTCCTGGCCCATTTGCCAAAGAAGGAACTTGGAGAGGTGATGCACGCACAGAAGTCCCTCAGGTGTTGGCCTCGGGGCCCCCAGTAGGGCGAGACAGGCTGGACTAGACCCAGGCCATAGGGGCACCTTACCCCATCTCATGCCTGGGGTCCTGGGGCTTGGGCATTTGCCACAGCTCCTGCATGGCCCTCCTGAGGCCAGAAAGGGGGGTTGAGAATCCCCAGAGCTACCCGGAAGACAACCCAACTTTCAGATGGATCATTTATCCCTCCAGTGCTCCTTTAGGGCAGGCTTGTCATGTTTTCTTCACCCCGGTGCCATTTAAAGGTACCACCTGGGGCTAGGGCTGTAGGACTGGGTTGATGGGAGCAGAGTGTCAGGGATTGGAACTCTGGGATGTGTCCTGTGTTGGTCCATGGGGAAGTTGCTGTCCCTCCCAGACCTCAGTTTCCCTACCTATCAATGGTGCCTCTTGGCTGTGAGTCTGTGAAGTTCACTGTACTCACCATTAAGGGCCCACGGCATGGGGTGGCTCCCAGTGAGGCTTAGATGTGGCTGTAAATGATGAGCAGGTGTGCTTATAAACAGGGCCACCCCACTCCTAATGCTTAGGACAGCAGTTCCAGATGCTGGGGATGGGGTGCTGGCCTCAATCACCATCTACTGGCCACAGACATGCCCATGAGTTCATCCTTCCATCATCTGCCTTCCCATCCACCCACCCACAACACTCCATCCACCCACCTGCCCAAATGCCCGTTCTCACACTATCCCCCAAACGTTTGTCTGCGCCTGCCCATCCCCATGCCCGCCCGTCAGCAAAGCCTCCTGCCCAGGGGCCTGGCTCTAGGAAGCTCCAGTTTGGAGGGCAGACAAGTTCCACCTGGGCGTGCCCAATCCAGGGTCCTGGCCAGTGCAGACAACACTCAGGCCGAAAATTCCAACCCAACCTCTGACCCCTGAGCAGCTCCACTTCTCCCTGCCTCTCTGTCTGACTTATCCTCTGTGTCGCCACATCTGTCTCTCGCTGTACCTCTCTCTGCCTCTTAGCCATCTCTCCCCGTGCTGCATAATCTCCGTTTCTCCATCTTAGGTTGTTTCTCTTTGAAGCTCTTTGCCACTGTCTTTGTGTCTCACAGTATCTGTATTTGTCTCGTTCCATGTCTCTCAATCCTTTATCGGCCTCATTCTCACAGTCTGCCTCTCAAGTCTCTTTGTCAAGGTCCCTTTGTCTGTGTCTTTACCTCCATGTCTCTCCGTCTTTGTTTCTATCTCTGTTTCTCTCTGCCTCTCCGTGTCTCTGTCTCCCATCTCTCTGTTTCTGTCTCTGCCTCCCTCCAACTCCGCGGCCCGCCTCTCTCGCGATTACACCCTGCAGCCCCTGAAGGCCAACTCGGTGACTCAGACACGCACCGCTGTTCCCACAGAGCAAGACAAACACATTTCCGAGCCCCCCCAGCTCCCCCCCCCGCCCACCCGGCTCTGGCCCCGCCCAGTTGCCCTGCCCCTGAGTTGCAGTCCGCAGCCCCGAGGCTCCCTATTGGCCCCTGCAGGAAGTTCCCATTCTGGCGCTCCGCCCCCAACTCGGTATTGGCAGACACTGACTTGCTCCCGGAAGCAAGAGCGGGCAGCAAGCGAGTGGGCAATGAAGCCTTGCGCAGCTGCCCGTGGTTGAGTCTGGCATGGCCGCTGCAGGCACGAGCTCCCCGGCGCTGCGGGGACGCCAAGCGGTATGAGGAGGCTACGCAGCTACAAACACCTGGAGAGCAACGAGTGCTGGCGGCGGTCCCCCTTCTCCTCCACCCACTTCTTTCTGCTGCGGACCCCAGCGGCATTGTGCAAGGTACTCGCTGGTGCCACAGCCCTGGCAGTGAGTCGCAGGGGACTGCCCGGTGACTAGGTTGGGAGGAAGGGAGGTTCTGGTAATAACAACTGCTAAGCGATGAGCTAAGTCCTCTTTCAGTGACGAAGTGTCCCAGGGCCTCCTGTGGTTGTATGGCTAAGTCATTTCCCTTCTGGGGCCTCATTTTCCTCAACTGTAAAATGGGCCAAACCAAAATGTTCACAGAGGAAGCTCTCAGCTCCAGGACTGGCTCAGTAGCAGAAAAGGGTCTTTGCAAAATAGTTGAGTATGCGGTCACTAGGACCATTCACAGAGGGGAACTGAGACTCCAGGAAGTTATATAATACAATGGGGCAAAGCCGGGCTCAACTCCCAGCTTTGAACTCAACTCCCACAGTGCAAAACAAAACTCAGGATCTTCCTGGTTGGGGACCCCTGTATTTTTTCCTATGAAACTTTCTATGAAGAGAGGGGAAAAGACCTGCCCAGGGTCACATTGCCAGGGTTTGGTGTTGCTAGGGCTCCTTGATGCCCAAGAACCTCATCGAGTTGGAGTCACTGTCCCTGCTGCCCCATCCAGTAAACAACAGGCACTCAATAAGTATCTGTGGAATGTATGAGGCAAGAGGAGATGCAGGGGCAAAGATGAAGGAGTTGAGAACCCCTGGGAGGCCAGGATGGTTGGTGACCCCACGGGCCTGCCTCAGTCTCCTCACAACTCTGAGGCCCAGGCAGGAGGAGGTAGGCGATGGAGCTGATTGCTGGCCACTGCCTGAATCACCACCATTGGTGCAGATAATACCCCTGCCCTTCCTAGGTGCTTTCATCTAGGACTTCCAAGGCCCTCATTAGGTTCACCAAACCAAGACAATGGCAGGGGTCTGGCTGGGCCGGTTGACCGACAGTGTACACAGCCAGGCAGGGTGGCCTCTGGCTGGAGGCGAGACCTGGTTCTGCTAGGTGACCTGACAGTTGCTCTTTTTCTCTGAGCCTCGGTTTCCCCATCTGGGCAGTAATGGGGTGACAGATGATGAATGGCTCTGTGTGTGTTGGGCTTGGAGGTCTTGTATCCTTCATTAATTCAGTGGTTATTAAATGGGTACTTTGCCCTGGCTGTTGTGGCCCAATCGATTGAGCACCGGCCTGCAAACCAAAAGGTCTCCAGTTCAATTCCCAGTCAGAGCACATGCCTGGGTTGTAGGCCAGGTCCCCATTTGGTGGCATGCAAAGGGCAACCATGCATCTCTCACACATTGAAGTTTCTCTCTTTATCCCTCTCTTTCTCTCAAGTAATGTAAATAAATAAAATCTTTACAAAATAAAAATAATAAAAATGGGTACTTCTTGTATGCTGTGAGAGGTACCAGAAAGCTCATCATCATGGGGTTGCAAAGCATAAAACAATTAAGCATGTGAATAAGTAATATAATTTCAGAGGGGACCACATGGGGTGCAGAGAGGATGACAACAGGGCAATGTACAAGATGTGACTGTGGGGGGGAGGTGCCTCTCCAAGGAGGCAGGCTTGAGTTGAGCCTCACTGAGAGAAGGAACTGAACACACTCAGGAGCCAGGGGCCTGGCCAATGAAGCAGCAGGTGCAAGGCACTATGGGGATGGGGTGAGTTCCGTGTTGCCTCAGGTATCCAAGTCCAGACTGAAGACCAGAGGGCACAGCCTTGACTCCAGATTAGACCTCAATGCACAGGTGGGGCTGAGGGTATGTGTAGTGATTTGTCCCAAAGTCCTGCTTTGCTGGACAGGAAACACTGGCTCAAAGCCAGGCAGAAATCACACAGGGTCACCCACGGGTGGACAGATGGGGCCTGAAGCTGGCTTTGCTCCTTCCCAGACCTCAGTTCCCTCTCTGGGAAGTGGGCACAGTCAGCACCTCTCATCTGTAGCTGCTGTGTGGGCTTAGTGGGGTACAGCACTTGGCATACAGTTGGCACTCAAGCAGTGTTAGCAGCTATCAAGTCGAATGCACTTTGCTATAAACACCCTGTGTCCCACCCCAGACCTTTGCCTGGGTGGTGCCCCCCTTCTGCAGTTTTGTCTTTGCAGAATCACACCACTGCAGCAGGGTGCACTGTCAGGGTTGGACATGGCAAAGGTGATGAGAACCCAGGGACACCCCACAGCTGCTCTCAGGGCCACATCCTTCGGACAGCTCCTGGCTGGGTATGTGTGGTCCCCAGTGTGTCCCCACACCCAGCAGAGCCAGATACACAGGTGGTGCTTGGTGAATGTTGAATGAATGAGTGGGAGCAGATGATGGCCGAGGGCCCTGACTAAGCCCCTCCCAGCAGGCACTATTGAGATCCCCATGGATCTGCATGGGCATTGAGGAGCTCAAGGCTATGCACATCATCTTCTTCATGGCCATAAACCACCGAGTCCACCTCTATGGGTGCATGGTGGGGTTGGCAGGCGGTGGGCAGGCACTGACAGAAAATGGGGCGCTAGCAGCCACCTCATGTGCCTGGCCCCCACAATGGGCCTGCACCGCCCACAGTGGGTTCCAGGAGAGCATTGAGGAAAATGGCTATACCACCTATGCTTCACTTTGCTGGTGTCACCATGGTGCTGGACAGGCAGGGTGCCCCGCAATGCAGTGGCCAGACCAGGTGGTAACACCTATCCACCCACTTCTTGCTTATCATGGCCCCTAAAGGGCTGAGGACTGGCTAGATGAGATTCCAGAAGACACCTGGGCAGGCGGCTAGGGACCAGAGGTTGGAGGCCACCCAGACTGTGGCCAAGTCACTCATTCATTTCACAAGCATTGAATGCCTGCTATGTTGCAGGGCTTTGGGGAACCAGCGAGGAACCTCACAGGAGTGGCCCAGCCCTCATATGAGTTTGAGAGGGGGGTGGACACTCAGCTGGGCAGGAGCTGGGTAGTGAAGAGTCCCCAGCAATACACCTCCTGGCCTAGAAACAGAATTCAGCTGTGTGGTCACCAGATACCTGAGAAGGGCACTCCAGGCTGGGACACAGTCTGTCAAAGACTCAGCAGTGGGAACCCATTGGAGTGTTGAGGCAGCAAGGAATGGGGGAGCCAGGTGTAGTGAGGGGGTCTCAGGGCCAGAGGAGAGAGGGCCACGTGGACACACTGTGGAGTGACAGGTCCTGATTGTCTCACAAGGCAGAGACTCTGCAGGTAGAATTAAGTCAAGGCCTGAGATGGGGATGACCCTGGATTTCCAGGGAGCCCAGTGTCATCACAGAGTCCTCATAGGAGGAAGGAGGGTGAGTCAGAGATGGAGGAAGGGGCCACGAGCCAGGAATGTGGCCCCTCTAGAAGCTGGAAAAGGTCAGAAGTGGTTCTCCCTGGAGCCTCTGGAAGGACCAGTCCTGCCCACAGCTGGGTTGGCAGGTGAAACTTATGTAAAGCTCCCGACCTCGGAACTGTTAGAGAATAAATGTGTGTGGTTTAAGCCACAGTTTTGGTGATCCGTCACAGCAGCTGTAGAAACACACACATGGCGTCTGAAATCAAGCAATGTCTTCAGCGCTCCTGAGTTCTTCCGGGTGCAGGGGTGCTGTGTGTAGGCTAAGGGGCTCCACGTCAGCACCCTCCACAGGCTTGGGGGAAGTGAAAGGACACATGAGTGCTGTGCCTGGGGAAGTACGCACCGATCTCCCAGCACCCCTGAGCCCCTATCCAGGGGCTGAGTGAGTTTGGCAGCCTTGGGCCAGGCAGTTCCACTCTGGGGCTCAGTTTCCCTTTCTATCAAGTGGGGATGATGATGCCACTTACCCCATGGAGTTTTATGGGGGGCTAACATGGGAGCCCCTCCCAGCCAAGGTGGAACATTCTTCTTGAGGTAGGTAACAGTCCCTGGGAGTGGGGGGTGGACTTTCACCCCTCCCAGGCTCCTCCTGCCACTTAAAATACAGAAAACAAAGTCGGGGTCACTTACCTGGGGGGTGTAGTCCCCCCTCTCTGTGGTCAGGGCCAGCGGTTCTCCCCAGGTGACCCTGCACTCCAAAGTAGCCTTCATACATAAAACCCCATCCGCTGCAGGGAGGGCGAGCTGGGAAGGCCCCACCTTACACCTCAGCACACTGGGATTCCTCAGTTACCCATTTCGGAGGCAGCGACCCCCTGCGCCTTCCTTACTGAACCTTGCCAGCCTGCTTCCAGGGTTCTGGTTTGGGACAATGGTACTGGCTGGTGCCCAAGGGGCACAACCCTAGGGTTCGGCGCAGAAGGAAAACGCCAACCACCTGCTTCTCTTTCTAAGTAGGTGTATTTTTTAAATAACTTTCAAGATACACGTATTTTTTTCCTTTAAAAAAGTCAGAGCAGTTTTGTTCAGTTTTTGTTGCTGGTCATCCTTGTGGTCCCGAGCCCCCCCCGCACTCAGGGTGGGGGCTGCTGGCCTATCTGGTGGGGCCAAGACCCCGGCTGAGCGGCCCTACCCCGTCTTTACACAGATCATGCAGGGTTGTGTGTAAGCTAATGTCCATTTATTTCAAAGCAGTAATAATTTAAAATTATAAAAACCTTTCCGCTGTTCAACACGTAGAAGGTGAAGTTGGAGACAGATGAGACGGGGGATGCTGGGGACGCCTGGGGGCGACATGTGCCCTGCACACCTCTATGCCCAGCCCTTCAAGAGAAGTTCCTGGGGGAGGGCCAGGCTTCCTCCACAACCTGGAGGCAGTGGGTCCTCTGAGACTCTGCCCACAGGTGGGGGCACAGCTGGCACCAGAGTCCATGGGAGCCACGGTGGTATGAGAGCCGAGACGGGTAGGGGCACCTCCTGGGCTCCAGGACGTTGGTGTCCCCATGCCCGCCAAGCCTGGGCTGGCCGGGGTCCTGTGCTTACTCTGGGGACTGGCAGGGGGGACTCAGGAGTTGCTTGCTGGGTTCTCATTGCTGGGCGAGCTGGAGGAGGAGGACGATGAGGAGGAGGAGAAGCTCACCCCAGTGAGGCCTGGGGGGTTGGTGGCCGTGTTCTGTCCTGTGAGGCTTTTTCGGCAGACGGGGCAGCTGTCATGCTTTGTGGGGACAGAGTGGGAAGAGGGAAGCAGTTCAGAGGCTGGCGGGGGGCAGGGGTGGGGCAGGCCCTATGGCCTTGACCACCCCCCTGCTCACCTGCTCCAGCCAGGGCACAATGCAGCCATCGTGGAAGAGGTGGTTGCAGGGCAGCTGCCGCACATGCTCACCCAGCTCATAGTCATCCTTGCACACGGGGCACTCCAGCCCAGAGCCTGTGGGAAGCAGGGAACCCCTGTGACACCCCCAACTGAAGGTGTCCCACTGGGGAGTCTGTTCATCCAGGGCCACCTTGGACCCAGGGGAGGGAGAGAGGCTGTGTCCTGAGTCCTGTGTCCCAGGGGAACAAAGGGGACACCAATAAAGCCTCCCCTTTAAGCCAACCTTTAACCCAACAGAAAAGCCCCAAGGAAAGTATCTTGAAAAGAAGCTGGGTGACTAAGGGACACATACCTACGTGTTCCTCAGTGACAGGGATAGTGGGGAGGGCCTGGATTTTCTCTTTGTCTGCGGGCGGGGGGCCTGTGTTTTCAAACTGATTGAGGAGCTGAAAGACAAGAGGCCAGAGTACGGGAGCTCGGTCGGCGGGCGGGGCCCCTCGCCCTGCTGGACTCTGAAATGCAAGGCTGGGTTACCTGCAAAAGCACCGAGGCCGAGTTTGTTCTGGTCCCCCCAGAACCCTCACTTAGGGGTCAGAGGTCAGATACCCCATGAGGCCCAGTCATGGGCCCAGCCTGCTGTTCTGCTCACCTAGTCATCGTCTCCTCACAGCCAGGGCGGGAAGACCGCGCCCTGGGGCCAAGGGTCCCACCCAGGGGCTCATACAATCCTGCATCCTACAAGGCATCAGCTAGAACCACAGGGCCAATCCCACCAGAGACACAATAGTCAAAGGGATTGTTGGCAAGCAGCTCTGAAAGTGGCAATGTTCCTGCCTTACAAGTGCCACTGAAATCACAGTGGACACCCATCTCGGGACAGGCTGGGGAGAACCTGGGATCCACACATGGGACCAAGCCAGGACCCACAACGCCAGCACACGGTTTCCTGCTTCACGGTGGTCCTGTGCCTGCAGAAATCATTTGGCTGGTGTGCCCCAGGCCCGGGATGGAAGTTACGGGAAGGTGGGGAGCTGGGAAGCAAAGCATTCACGTCAGAGACGCACTCTACCAGGAACACGCTCAAGTCCTCTCAGTGTTCCAGGAGGGTGTGGGCCTGTCCAAACTCCTAGTCCCATCTGAAGGAAAGAGGTGATACCCCTAGTACCACCCGGGAAGACCCACCCCATACCTGCGTGATGATCGCATCCAGCCCGTTGGCCCCCCAGGCGTAGTCCATCGGGTTTGAGTGCAGGACACCCCTGGGCAGAGACGTGTGGGGTTCAAGTGGCAGAGGGGCTGGGTGGGGCTTGGGGGACCCGCCCACCTACTCACCAGGGGCCCAGGCCCAGGTTGGGGATGGTGGCTGGAGTGATGATGCCGTTGACCAGCTGCTGGATGATCCTGGAACACACCAAGCCCAAGCATGAGGTCAGCATTTTCCCAGGGCGAGGGCACCCTGGGTGGACACACAGGAGACTGGAGCCCAGCTTCTAAACACATAGCATTTAAAGGGTGTGCTTTCAATCAGTGAGATTTGTGGTGAGAAACAAGAATGAAACACGAGACGGACCCAGAGAGGTACCTCGCTCTCATTGAATTCCAGGACAGACTACCCCAAGGCCTCAATGGCACCTATGGCGGTGTCACCACACCCGACCCCATGATCCAACCTGGGGAACATTCTGGAGGTCATGAGAGCTGTGGGGTCAGCCGTGCTGTTCCCAGTGGCCCTTGAACATCCAGCCCAGGTCCTGGTGGACCCACTCAAACATGAGACAGCTGTAACATGAGTGGCAGGCTGGGCCTCCAGCTCACAGTGAGGAAAATGGATAAGCTCCGTGTGGGTTTAAGCCCACTGTGACAATGGCTGCTTCTCCGTGTACAGCCAAGGCCATCTCAGAGATGTGTGAAAAGCCTAGCCCCGCCTCTTCTGGAGGGATGAGGCCTGTAAGAAATGTTCAGTTTTTATTCTGAGTCCTCCTATGCTGTCCTCAAGCTAAAAAGAAGCCGTTCTAGTGACAACCTGCATGTGGGAGGGGCTGGGGGCGCTGCTACAGGGCAGGGGTGCTAAGAACTGCCCACCAGCTGCAGCTCTGGGACAAAGACCTGAAGGTGAACCAGCCACACCCAAGCCAATGAGACCCTGCTCAAAAGGATGATGGGGACCCTCAGTGGACACGAGTAGACATGAGAATCCCCAGCTCTGTGCAGGTCCTTGAGCTACACTTCAGCTCCCTCACTCCCCAGCCCAGCCAGGGCCTCGACCCCCACCTGTGCCACCCCATTTTGCACAGTGGGCTTGGCCAGCTCTGCCAGAACCCACGTGGGAACCACCCTGCCCAGAGACAGCACCCACAGCTCTGCGCCCACAAAATCTTCAGAATGGACTTGCTCTGCCTGAGTGGGGTGCAGCAGGCTGGAAGCCCCCAAGAGAGACCCACCCACCAGCCACACCTAGCCCCCTCACCCTTCCAGCGTAGGGACGCCTTCGTGCCGGCTGGGGGCCCGCCTCGGGGTGAGGCGGGCTCGGGGCTGCCGGGCGCCATACCGGTGCCGGGACTGCTGCTCTCTCTCCCGCCGGC